AGGCCTGATTTATCGAATTCTTAAAATCTACCAAAAGAGTGATTTTTTTATGGCCATTCATTGTTCATTTTTTTTTTTTTTTTTGCAGTGACAAATAAAACTAATGCAAGTTTGAAATGAGCACGTGGTAGAGAAAGATCTGAAGCAGGACGAGTTGAAAAGAATGATGTCTGACGAAAGGACGAAATGTTTCCGAGTCCATATATCGCGACCAATCGTTTCCACGCGATAGATCACCAGTCCACGTGCCACTGCGTGCCAGTTCATCGATCACGATTAGACCTGCCAGAAGTTCATCGATTTTCGAGTCACACTAAAGTCAACTCGTGCGACAACAATTCATGCGTTCACTGGTCGAAAACGATACATCCTGTCCAATACGTACTGACTTGCACGAAAAGCGATAGAAACGTAACACGATACAGTTTTGATATACATATATGATTGATTCAGTAGGAACATGACTCCTTAAGCGTTGCTGTATTATTTTAGATAAAACAAAAACTGGTTGGATTGAATTATTATTATTGGAACCGAGCGTATTCGATGAGAGGAACGTGAAACGTTTATTGGACTCTGCACAACCGACACAACCTTTTGATCTCCAATCCTTGTCTCCGATCGTAGATGCATCGCATATTTGAATTCCCAAAAGGACCCGGTGCAACGACATTCCCTGCGATACTGAACCGAATATATGTATTTACAGGGGCAAACTCGTGATCCAGAAACTCTTTGTTCTCCTTCGTATAAAATTCTGAACGATCCCCGGGGTACTTTGCCGATCAGTTCGCTGCTCACTTTCGAATGTATTCACTAGGGAGTTTTGCGCTATGTTTTCCATTCTTGAAAGCGGAAGCGTCGGCCTCCTTTGATCCGACGACCGGCAGCGCTAGCTTTTAAGCTCGTAAAAGTGACGAGCAGATGGTTATGATAACAATAATTTGATCTTCGACGTAGCCAGCCTTTTGCACGCGCGTGCCAATGCAGTATGTACATATTCTTGTATTTGTACAGGGAATGTTAAACTCCATACTAGATTTTGAATCAAGACCGAAGATTGAAGAATTTTAGTAGCTTTCTTCTTCTTCTTCTTCTTTTTTCTTTTCTTTTCTTTTCTTTTATAAATATAGTTCCGGTGAATAATTTTTTGGCGCGATTTGAAAGCATCAAGCAATTCATTGGTTTAACTCGCATAGTTAACCTGAGCTTCAGTATTTGTCAGGAAAGTACGAATTCTCAAAGCGGAGAAACGGCTCCCTTCGAATCGATCGAGAATTAATCCGACTGCTATCACGTCTCGCAAACGTCACTCCATTGTCTCATTGTCCATTGAAGTGAGAGATAGCGATGGAGCAATAGAGGACGAGAGATGACTTTCCTTCGTTCCTATCTTGCCTCCTTTTGAGATTCTGTCTCGATCCTATTGGAGGCCAGGCGGATTCTCTGTTCTTCTACGAGTAACTAATGCCATCGAAACGAGAATTGAGGCTACGACCGGTATCTACTATTCGTTTCTCCAGGTTTTCCTTTATTTATTCATCGACTATACCAGTCAAGGTCCTGATCTTCCATTACGTAAATTAATGATTGTCAGGGACGAAAGAAAGAAAAAACATGTAGCAAAACGTGGAATAATTAAGATTTAATTTTTATTATTTATTAGATTTATCAGATATGTACCTATAAGGTGTGACAAGACTTTTGTTCTTTACATTCAAGATCGTTCTTAATGCGAATCATTTTATGTTTCAGAAGCGATACTTTGAAAAATTTAACACGATTTATTTTATAACATTCTGCGCACGGCATAAAATATTTTTCACATGCTTTCAACCGTATTCGGCTCTCGTTCCTCTGTCGGCCTCTTATCAGCCAAACATTAAGCGAACAAAGAACAGAACGCGGCTACAGGCCATACATCAGATCGTCCTCGATAATCAGGGTTCATGAAGATTCCTCGGGCCGTGCCCGTGTCGCTGAAAAAGGGCGTCATGCTTGGCTCGCACCAGGGTGTCATCTGCACCCTCTACAGCTCGGCCAGCTCTGCCGACGATCTTCACGGTCAATATAACGGATGTCGTAAAATCAATTAGTAGCGAATTGTGCCGCAGTGCCCGGATCGTGCACGCCATATACGCGGCTCGTAAAGCTCCTCTTTTCTCTATGTATTTATATTATATTTTCAGGGTGTAACTACGTGTTCCTCGACCATCCGGTTCCAGTGGATGATCACTTCTTACCAGAGGGTAGTGCAACGATATCCATTTATCATGTGTCGCAGTATCGTTGCTAAATTTCTCACCTAGTCAGCAATGTTAAAATTATTAAAATACTAGTGTATTATATGTTAAAATTATTAAAATACTAGTATATTATACTATTAAAATTTTCTCGCGAATCGTCTAGACACTGCGTATAAGTATCTATCTAACATTAGGCTATTTCTCTCCAACTTTCTTACGACTTATCCTCAAGTTAGCTCATTAAAGAGAGGCTACTCTTCCTTTGCTTTAACCACTTGCGCTGGCAACTGATTGCGGACCATAACGAGTGACCAAACCGCATACAATAACTCGTCGCTTTCTTTCTGTTCTCGTCGGTATGATATCACTCGATAGAAATTATTAAGAAGTAATAGATTTATTATTTTGCCTGGGTTACATTTCAATATACTTGAAATTAGTGTATTGAAATTATTTTCTCAGCACTGGGAATATATTTTACCTTAATAGTAACAATAGTAATATTTAGAAACGTTCAGAATCTCGGACAGAATCTCTTTTCCCTGAAAATCACATTTCTATTAAACACTGTTCTATTAAACGCCTTACCACTTGCATTGGCAGCTGACCAAATAACCATATACAATAATTCGTCGCTTTCTTTTTGAACTCGCCGGTACGATGTCACTGGATGAGAAATTACTGAGAAGTAATAAATTTGTTATTTGTTTTGCCTATTTTGTTTTACTTAAATATATAATTTTACTTATTATATTACGTTATATTACAGATTAAAGCTGTATTAACTTTTAAATAAAATAAATTTTTCTACAGTGTCAGAAAACGACATTACTTATATGTATAGTAAACACTTGCGTTGGCAACTGATTGCGGACCATAACGAGTGACCAAATAACCGTATACGATAATTCGTCTCTTTCTTTCTGAACTCGTCGGTATGATATCATTGGAGAGAAATTATTACTGGAAAAAGTAATAAATTTAATATTTGTTTTTCTGCGAGTTATACTTAAATATAACTGAGAAGATATTGCAATTTTGGAACGAAAAATTCTCGACGTGCGTGATACGTCATTCCAGCGCAAGAGGTTAAGTCGAACCAAGCATTCTTCTTTCTTTATTCATCGTGTTAAAATACAAATCTCCTATATTAAAATTCTTCCGATACTAAGCGTCTTCCAATTATTTCCAGTTGTATCGTGTCTATAAGAAGGCGCAACATGGAAGGACATCGTACTTTTATATAAAAATTCATGTTCAACTCGATACCGACAACGCGGTCCTAAACTAGACAGGAATTAATATAGCGTAATATCGATTCACGTGAAATCTTCCGCAAGTCGCTTTCACGTCGCTGTGACAATAGCGTCGGTTAATAGCCGCTTTTGAACGGAGCGAACGGTCTTGGAAGGGAACAACGTGGCTTCCTTTTCTGCGGTGTTTCGTCGCGCAGTAAATATTATCAGGTAGATACCGTTACGGATGTTTCTCCGGTGAACTGATGACATTGCCAGTTCATTTCTTCTCTCTTCTTTCGCTTTCCTCCCCTGTTCTCTTTTTTTTTCATTCTTTTTCTTCCAGGAAACCACCCCCGCATGGACGACATTCTGACAAATCTTTGGGAATCGACGCCGTAACCGATTCGAAGGAATTCCCTGTGACGAGCTATTCATCGTGCGTGTTTACAAGCTGCAGGATTTTCACAGGTTGTCGAAAGGTTGGGATACCTCTCAAAATTATGGAGGGAAATTGTCTTTGACAAAGGAAATTTATGTCATTGATGAGGTATCAGTGCTACTCTCAAGTGGTGTCGTTTTTTTTTTCAAATTCAATGAACAATAATTTAACTTATCGCAACATAATTTATATTATAGTTTCGATACATTGACAGTTAGTCATTTTGGCTATTTTTATTGTTAAATTATATTATAGATTAGATTGTTAATTGTTAAATAAAAAATGAAATTTTGTACAATATCAAAAAACGACGCCTGCAGGTATCCCTAATAGATATTGATGAAAGTACAAATATTAATTTTTTCATGATTTTCTTTTCTCCTCCTTCCAGTGGCAACTGCTCGAATCTCAGTAAATTGTACAAGTTTTTTATTACGCCGGGAGGCGTATATCTATGAAAAAGAGAAATAGTCAGCGCAAAACTTTAGACGTTCTTTGTGTGAACGTCACCCGTTACAACGCAGCGTTGCTTTGGCTAAGAGCCGGTAAAAGTCGAAATGAAGGAAGTTCTCCTCTGAATTCTATTTCCTTCGTCAAGCGGTTTTGCAGGCTTGCCTATCTGTTCTCTCTTCGCCGTCAGCCTCTCTTGCCTCCCACCTCCTTCTCGTCACAGCTCGCTTCTCACTACCTGAGAAAATATACGACCATCCCTAGCAATAAATCAAGCCATCATTTTCATTTACGAATATAATTATCTATTCACTTGTACGAAGCTTAGCCTAAAGGCCTAAGGTATAGCGATACTAATGGGCACTTGACTGAATAAATATTGAAACAAGTGCTATTTCCTATTTCTTGACCTCGTAATACGTTTAATATTATTAATAGACATACTTTTAATTTACAGATATAGAATCAGTGTGACGAACCAGTGTAAATGACGAGTACAGTCCATCTCAATTTCCTGCTAAAGGAGCAAGTTGGTAACCAGTTAGAGATTTGCATTAAGCTGTTAGCATTATCGATCCATATTTCACTTTTTTCTGGTTTCTACAGGTCGTCTCGATGTCGCTTTTTCACGATCAATCCATAGCGTGAGCGAGAAACAATAAGGGAAACAAGATTTCGTCGAAGGGGCGAAAATTCATCCTCCTTCAGCGGGAAGTTCGAGGAGTGAAAGAAGAGGTGGGCTCTCCTCGCGGCTACGACTTGCAACCTACAATTCGGTGGCTACGAAACGGCTACACCCTTTCACGAGCGCGCGGCTCAGCCACTCGTGGAACCGACCAGCTTCGCCCCGAGTGGCAAGTGTGGCGGGAATTATGCAATTATTGCATTGCGCCCGACAATTGTCGCGGAAAACGGCGAGAGTGCCTGAATGGCCTGAGTGTCGAAGGGCTAACGGGGTAAGAAAAGGGGATTTCCTCGCCGATTTACTACCGACAGCGTACGTTCTGTTCCCCGTTTTAATTCATTCCTGTTGCCCGTAATTACGATCAAGAATCGAAGGTCGACGCGACTCTGGTTTGCTGTCGCAGCTGAGAATGTATGAAAGAATACATTTAGATATTTGGATATTGGAATATTGGAGTAGCATTGTTCTTTTTGAAATAGAATTGCGAGATCGCGTGTGTATCTTTAAAATGGATTTGTACGTGCAAGATCTTGGGAAACACTGTGAATTGTAAATTGATATCCCAACAGATTCCCGTGTACGTCGGTTTCTCACGATTCCCAAGGGAATGTCAGCGCGTCTGTTGGCCAGTCAAATTGACGTATCGCGCGATGGGCTTGGGAATTTAAAATGCAACTAAACCTGACCAACATTACCAAGCGTCTGAATATTTTCTTTATCATTACAGAAACAGTTTGAGTATATATCAGAGATTGGATAGATTTGTTAAAACGGCCATTGATTTTCATTAGAAATTCAAAGTTTGATTACCAAAAAAAAAAAAAAAATAATAATCCAGATTGTCTTTGTTAATAAAGACACCAATTTTTTTGATCTATAGTCCACATCTATGCGGGTACAATATAGATTATAATCGTACACTTATATAGACTCACCCTTGGCCACTTAAAACGTCCATATACGTTTGAAACTATGTACACGTTTCTGTCAAATGTTTGCACGGGAACTAAGCTAAATTACGGGAAATAATTTGACATTAGAAGTTGGTATCTTTTTAAAAATTTAAATGATTCACTGCTTGAAATAACTTAGGATTGAAATATTCAGATGAAGTCTGGACGTGTGAGCTAGTAAGTAGTAAGCTAATTTAAAAAGTAAAAAATTTCTCGAGATGTATCCATTCAGATCAATTTCCGACAATTAATTTATCGTTGTGCATAATAACGCAATGAATTATAAATAAATTCAGTGTTTCATGCGTAGATTAATCAAGCACTTGTTCGACCAGTTATTCATCTTTCTCTGAAGAGGCAGAACTAAATTACTTCAATTAAAAATCATAGCTTCTATAAATTTCACTTGGGGAGACCAAAGACGTTTTTCATTACCACTAAATCTATCCTGCAGGAAATTTTATACGAGATCATAAAAACTCTGATTGCTCGTAAGAGACTACTTGGATGCCAATAAAATTAGAGATTAATTAAATTAATTGATCAACAATTGAAAATCAAGCGAAACAATCTGCAAGTTGTTACAGACTCGTCGAAATTTGTCTTCAAGAACTTGAAGGTAACTGTACAATGAATATATTTCCTAGTAGCGTGCAAGCTACTTTAAAACACAAAACAAATATTCTTTACAATCTCTACAGAGGTTCCTGAACAAGCTGAAACAAGTGGGAATTAGGAAATTTTTTAGAAATTTGTAGAACGTTTCACGAGATGCCATTTCGAAGAATTCTGCTACGAAACGTCGAATCCCGAGGAACAATGCCGCACGTTATCGCGGGACTAGTTCATTGTTTTACATCTCTCGTTTTCTGCCATCGACGAGACGAATTTCTAAATTGTAAAAACTATTAAATTATGTGCATCGACGATGGGGGAACAATTACCGTACGAACGTCGTGGAGGAGGGGAGGAGGAGTCAGTGCTATGATAACGAGACGATCCGCAAATAAAGAGGACCTGCAGGATATCTGCAAACACGAGCGAAGCAAACGGGCCGGTTCATTAATATTCCCTCGTAGGTTTCGAACAAGGAACGCGCGGTGAACTCTCGAGGTCCCTCCGACCTAAGCTATAAAAATTAATTAGCTCTTAGAAGGAGAGGTCGACCAGGCGAAGCGTCTACACCAGGATTCGTTCCAAAAAAAAAANAAAAAAAAAAAAAAAAAAGAAGAAAGAAAAAAAGAAACGAAAGAAAAAAGAAAGATCATGAAGCCATATTCACTGGAGAAAACGATCATCGACCTCTATTCATGTTCGAAGAATCTAACCTGGCACGGTTACTATCATAGATCCTCACGATAGATGATCGATGCGGCATCCTCGCGCTCGATTCAAAACCTTCCCCCATTCCAGACGTTGTTCCAAGGTATAATTAGTCAGGCGATTCCACTTTGGTCGTTGATGACCGAACGATCGGGAAACGTTTTGTTAAGATGATTACATTCTGGAGTCGAATATTATATCTGCAGGATGATTCATTGTAAGTATCATCGTGAGATTTCCAATTTCCATTTCGACGTCTATGTCTTTCATTGTACACGCTCTGTCTATTTTCAGCGATGAGACGAAGACTGTTGTTGTTTTTTTCACTGTTCACTTGGCGATCTTTGAGACAGTCAATAATAATAGTTTTAGCCTTACCTCGAGTCTCGAGAGCGTGATTCCTCGAGAAACGTAGTTGGACGTTAAACATGAAATCTTTGATATTTGCCAATTGCTCTTCGAGCGGTGATGTTTACCAGCAGTGACGGATCGTTTTTTTCTTTTTTTTTTTTTTACAATTGGCAGAATGGAAGAGCAACAGCTGTTTAGAAAACGAAAGAGAAGCGTTTGATTCAACGTACGTATTACAGAGCACAGAGGGAATTCGATTATGCCAGTATCCACAAATTGCCTTCTAGTTAGCGAGAGTATCTTGCGGCCCAACTATCGCGAGATAATTACACTTCAACCGCTATAATAGCAAGTTAGTTATAGGAGTGGTGGATCTTGGCTCGGGAACATTACCTCTTGGCTCTCGATTGATCGAGCACATCCACCGGGCTGGAGGATCCGTTCTCTCATCGTTTTCTTTTTGGGAAGACAAACTTTGGCCCACGAATGTTTGAGGATGCCGTGTACCAGCCATGTGAACCACGTGATATCATGTTAAAACTTGACGTTTCCTCCTTACTCTTTTTCTTTTTGTTTCTTCATCTTCCTCCTTCTCTGTTCTCTATCTTTTCCAAAACGAAGAAGATTGAAACAAATTCCTCCTTTCAGGAATTCAGAGAGATTGGGAGAACGTTTGTGTGATGAGTAATGGCAATAAGTAAATCGCAAAGTGGAACGTTTGTCAACACGCAGAAACGCGAGAGGAGAAAGAAAGCAGCGAGGTGTAATGGGACAAGAGGTAATAGATATTTTTCCAAGATTTAAAAGTGTCTCTGCGAGAGTCTCAACCCACCTTGGAACATTCTCGCTCTCACTATGTGCACTGGCGTTCGAGCTCGAGAGCTCTTCGCCCTCGGAACAATAAAACCATTTCTGTGGGGAAGTGAAACAACTCTGGGAACCGTTCTTCTCAGATGGCTGATGGAGACACAGGTAGATCTATTCGGCACTTCACAAAATGGGATTCAACGTCGTTCAATATTTACTGATAAGTATGTCTACAACAGCGCCTATTGGAAATTACGTCTATTTCTGTAGACGTTGCGTAAAATCGTAGTTTTTCACATTCCGCGTTCACCTCGATTTTCAAGAGAGGATACTGAGAAGAGAAGCCGGACAATCGCAAAACAGATTTTACGAGGCAATTGGAGACGAGAACGGAATGATTTTTGTTCGGGGATCCTCCTTATGACACTCAGAAACGTGCATATGGAGACGGTGGACGAACCCTTGTCGAGGGTTCGGACAATCGAGTGCTTCGAGAACTACCTACTCATTTACGGACTCTCACCTCGACTACTACTACTTATCTCTCTCTCCGTTTCTCTCCCTCTCTTCGTGCTCTCTGTCTCTTCGTTTCTCTCCCCCTCCCTTTCTCGCCAACCCTGTCCTGCGGCAGCGAGTCATAACCACAAGGAGTACAATGGGTGGAAACCACTAGCGGCTTTTCACTGCCACTTCTTCGTCCCGCCAATTAATTTCCGTGGCACCGATCTCGTTCCTCAAGAAGCCCCACTCAACAGCTGCCAATGGATGAGCATAAATCTTCAAATCCGTCGCCGTTGCCCTTTCTTTCTTCACCCCTCTTGGCTGGTTTGCCTCGTGCTATTAATGCGTTTCACTTGTGAGGTCCACCTGAGGTCCTAAAGTCCACGAGTGTTTACGATAGCCCAGTCATTCATCTTTTTATTACTGGTCCCTTCAACATACAAACCGTGCACACTTCTAATTGTAACCTGTATTTTATAGCAGCTAGAATACGGCTTTCTTTTAGGAAGGAAAGATCCAGAAGAGTTCCACGACAGTTTAAGATATTTTGTTCTCTCCTGTGATTGAGCTTGGAAATTTTGCAAGCCGAGACAATTATTTTTATCTATATTTTTGTGTCGTTAATTGATGTTTAACGCGAAGAATAAAAGAATTTCCACCAGAGACACTACAAAGTAAAAGAAACAGAAAATCTTTGTAATACATAAACAAGTCCCTAAAAATACACTGTTTTATATCTATAAAATATCTGAACAAAAATCAATCCAATTTTGGTAGTTGTTAACGAATCTTGTACTGTATTCTCCAATTTATTTATTTATTTGAATCTGAAGACGAATTACAATTGCGTTCAAACTTGCCTATTCATTTTACGTTTGACACTGTTCATTTATAAAATTCGACCAGCAATAATAATGAAAATGATGTACTGTTGCAGCTGCTGCGTTATAAATAAGCAAACCAATGGAGTATAAATTTCGTTGGGCGAAACCCGCTCACGGATCTTCTTCAGGAGCACCTGCGAATAAAATATTCCGCGGTGCTCTAGCGGAAATAAGGAATTGTCGCGTGGGTGATCCATTTTCAGAAGACACGGACGACTCTCTCTCTTTCTTTCTATAGGTGTCTAGCCAGCGGAAAAATTGAAAAGCTGCGCTAATTCGCGCGACAATGCATCCCGTCCAGGGGCTGCACGCCCGGGGACGGAAAGTTTATCGCGAGCCTCGCGAAAAACGACCTTTGGCTGGCCGCCAATCGTCGCACGATCTTCCGGGGGCTCATGGCCAATGACGAGGACCACTCTTGTCGCGCCGACTTGCATAATTTATTACCGACGAACGTTTCGTCCCCGACAAATGGTCCCCGACGTCTCGCTGCGTTACGAAAAATCTCCTGGTCAATGAAATGCCAATCTTCCCTGGTATTGTGCAACATGGTAGACATTATTTTCATCGAACTATGTGTGTACTTCAATTACTATTGGCGAGACTTTGACAGGAAAATCTTGTTCATGGTGAGAGACTAATTGAAATTTGATTGCAGAGTGCAATCGTCCGTCTTATTAGTAGCATTACTATTCTATTTACTATAATAACACCAGCATAATACTAATATATACACTATACTATACCAGACTAATAATAATAATAATACTATACTATACTAATAATAATAATAATACTATACTAATATTATACTACACTAATAATAATAGTACTATACTAATACTATACTACACTAATAATAATAATACTATATTAGACTAATAATAATAATACTGTACTATATTAGACTAATAATAATAATACTATACTAATACTATATTACACTAATAATAATACTATACTAATACTATACTACACTAATAATAATAATACTATACTAATACCATACTACACTAATAATAATAATACTATACTAATACTATACTGTACTAATAATAATAATACTATACTAATACTATACTGTACTAATAATAATAATACTATACTAATACTATATTACACTAATAATAATAATATACTAATACTATACTGTACTAATAATAATAATAATATACTAATACTATACTGTACTAATAATAATAATACTATACTAATACTATACTGTACTAATAATAATAATACTATGCTAATACTATACTACACTAATAATAATAATAATAATATACTAATACTATACTAGACTAATAATAATAATACTATACTAATACTATACTATACTAATAATAATAATATTATACTAATACTATACGGTACTAATAATAATAATACTATACTACACTATACTAATAATAATATCAGTAGCAATATATACACTAGCGCAATATATACACTATATTATATTGAGATACTTGTCTTATTAGTAACGTAACTATACTACTATACTACTTGCTACAATAATATCAATATCAGCGCCATTCTGTGCACTGTACTATATTATATAATACACTTATGTAACATAACTGTATATACACTATATTATACTATATAATATATACTTTATACAATTGACCAGGCAAATCCACCGGTGCACGAGTTAAACTTGAAGGAAGGTGCATCAGAGAACGACTCGTGGGTACACAGGAGCCAGCGGCCCATAGTTAGTCCACGGCTAACCTCGACTTGCCTCTGGTGACGTTCGGTGATGGATGCACCGGCATTTACCAAAGTCGCTCGCCGGCTCACGAAGAGCCGCCCTAGACGATAGAAGGATCAGGGTGTAAAAAAGCAGCGACTCCAGCGGCAGCGTCGCCGGCTGGAAGGTGGAAGGACAAAGAAAAAGGAAGAAAGAAACAGAGAAACGAGGCGGCTCTGGTGAGAGGGATGGGAAGAGGAAGAGACGCGGGGTCCAAAGACGACCCCAAAGGAAGGGGAAGAGAAAGAGAAATGAGGGAAAAAGGAAGGGAAGAGAGGTGTGCGCGCGGAATTCAGAAGCGGAAAGAGGGATGAAAAAAAAAAAGGGAGAGAGAGAGAGAGACAGAGAGAGAGAGAGAGAGTTAGAATGAAAGAATAAGAGGAAGAGAGCAGGGATTAGATCTCAGGGTGAGTGGGTAGGATTGGATTTGGCAGAGGCAGCTCCAGTTGGTGGTAGGAGGGAAGGTTTGCCGGAGAAGGAGGAAAGGGGAAGCAGCGACTTTGGTTGGTGTCCGAGTGGTGGTGGGGCTACAGATGGGGAAACGCACCGAGCGTCAAGGGAGAGAAGGAGAGACGTAAGTGACAGGATAGGTGGTGGTGTAGGTGAACTGGACAACCACCAGAACTCTCCGCCAGTATTTAAGGGAGAGTCGCGAGCGTAGCGCGCCAGTTACTACGGCCGATTGCCTCCACGAGGTGGAGGTCCCATAAGCTTTGCCACCGCCGCACCGATTCCGGCCCGCTTGAAAGAAAACGGCGCGAAAAGTCTCAGGCCACGTGACCCCGAATTTTCCGAATTTTCACTCGCCTTTCAAGTCTGTCTCTCCGGGTGTCTCCGTTTATTCGCAATATATATATATATATAACGTTATATTCCGTCGCTCGAGATTCACATTCTGTCGATTCTGAAGTGACGTGGAAGTCGGAAGTCTTCGCGAGCAAGCTCGGAAGCAATACCAATTTGCGATTAGTATTAAAGTAGAAGTGACAGTAAAGAGAAAAAAGAGGTGGTCGAGTCCGTGAAAACAAGTCGTCGAAACATGAATGGATGTGCGTCCCGTGAGGAAATTCGCGGCGACTCACGAAAGTGCATCACGATTTATGGAAGTATTTGAATCGCTGCGTCGACGAGGGCTCTTTCGAGGAACTTACGCTCGCGAACCGTGCAGATGAGTGTGCTGCTAAGGTATCGTACGGTTCTTCGATATTTGCATCGCGAGAGAAAGAGGCGTTCTCTCTCTCCTCTTCTCTTCTCTTCTTTTTCTCTCCTTTTCTTTTATCACGAGGCAACGTATCAAGCGAGTTAGTTGAAGGAAACGCGAAACGTCGACACGTTGATAGTTCTTATCTCGTCGTTACAATCTCGATAAACATTTTCGCGAAGCGCGTGAACTTGTGTGTCACCGTGCGCCGAGATTGCCACGCATGTCGCAACACTTGCGATTCAACGTCGTTTGTTTATTCTTGCCGTTAAAGGAGAGAACTGACGTTTCACTCGGGAAGGATAAAAATTTCGCAAAAATTAAGCAACATATATATATATATATATATTATTATTAAGCAATTTATAATTAAGCAACATATATATATATATATATTGCTTAATTTTTATAATATATATATATATTCAGTCGTGTCGTAATTTTTTTAATATATATATATATTATATATAAATTTTTATTATATATATATATATATATTCAGTCGTGTCGTAATTTTTTTAATATATATATATATATATATTATATATAAATTTTTATTATATATATATATATTCAGTCGTGTCGTAATTTTTTTAATATATATATATTCAGTCGTGCCGTCTCAAAGTTACGAGCCCGAGGGAGAAGATCGCGCAAAAGAATGGCAGTGGCTTTGCAATATTTGAAATTGTTCGAGTCTCGAAAAAATTAGAACTCTGTTTCGTTTCGCTCGTGTTTCATTTTTGTTTACACGTCCGGGGAGAAAGAACGGGAACGTTGCTTTTCAATCGGGATTTTTCTGCCGATTTCTCAGAGAAAGAATAACAAACGCCCGGTGAGGGTTTGCATATGGCTGTGCAAATATCGTACGCGTTAATTACGTAAGAGCCGGCGCGTATAGGGGCGCAGCTTCTTTTTATCTGCCCGATGAAAAACAAAAAAAAGGATGGTTGAACCTGCGATGGCAAACTGCCAAAAAACAGTTCTCCGCGAACGACTAGAAGAAAACGACAGGATCGCGGATGGTATCGGCTCCCGGGTGGCTTGTCAAAGCCACGGGCGCCTTTAATTTCTTTAAATCGGGAGCAGCACGCCAGAAATTGATACACCTTTTATCGAGATTTACCCAGATATACCCAGATAATTCGAGGATTTAAAGAAACGAGACAGACGTAGAAAAATTTATTTACTCCAACGTTTAGAACCGATTTATCCAGTCTTAGCGATCATTTCATAAGTTGTTTCAATCTTAGGCTCGAGTAAAAATGACACAGATATGAAACGATAACAGTAACAGCAAAAATGAAGCAAAGTATTTTTTTTACGAATTTATCTCGTGCTATATCAACCTTAGTGATAAATTATTCCAATCTCAAACTCGAGTAAAAATAACGCAAATATATCCATACACAATACCAGTGACATTTACAAAAATTGCAAAAATTAAGCAAAATATTTTTTTCACGAATTTATCTCGTGTTATATCAACTTTAGTGATAAATTATTCCAATCTCAAACTCGAGTAAAAATAACGCAAATATATCCATACACAATAACAGTGACATTTACAAAAATTGTAAAAATAAAGCAAAGTATTTTTTTCACAAATTTATTTCGTGTGGGAGAGAACTATATTTGAAGAATATCAGAGAGAGAGAGAGAGAGAGAGAGAGAGAGAAACAGTCGGTAATGTTAACCTGAACAGCAAAAGAGGAGACGTAACATGAAACTCCCTCCCGGATTCCAGCGGTCAGAAAATAAAAAGATAGAAATAAAACTCAATTTGCCAGCGAGCAAATCGCGGCGGATAGAGGCTTTAACGAGGCAATAAATATCGCGTGTGTGAATATGTGTGTGTGTGTATCTAGGGAAAGAAGGCGAATCGTTCGGATCCGGTGCCCGATGCTGCTGACATTGGGGCTGCTCCTGGTGCTATCGAACGCCGGAGCTGTTCACCGACAATCGAATCTTCTCCTGCCGTTTACCAACATCTCGTTTCGGTTCAGCAAGGCAGCGACTAATCGCGGTATTTCAGTCACCAGGATCCTGCAGGACGGGCAACTCGAACGTGTGATCCGACTGCCTGGAATTTGCGCCAAGGAGACCGTCGTCGATTGGGGGTAAACGATTATCTTTGCTCCTCTTTCTCTACTCAGAAGCACACCGCCTTTACGTTAGAGATTTTTCTATATAGAGCCAAAATTTAGTACCATCAGTGTATTGACTCTCAATCGTAAGTATTCTTAACTATAGATAATGGCAGATGCTTTGTTTTATTGTCAGAATCTGGTGGAGGATTTTAGTAGTTTCGTCTTGTCTGTAATTTATTAATTTGTGAAATTACCAAAACTATAGTGGCAACAATGTAGTACCAACAATGTATTAATCCATATAATCCAAGGAATTCTACGGATGAGCAGCATTCTTTATTTTGGCATTAGGATCCAGTGGAGAATTTTAATGGTTTTGTTATTTAAGAATTATACAAGTATTTAGATTAGATTACTTTTTGTGCAACACAGTAATTTACTGATTCATAAAATTACCAAAAAAGTCTAATACCAACAATGTAGTACCAACAATTCATAACCAACAATGTACTTGATACTTAATTCAAAGAATAAGATTCTTTATTTCATTATTTCAGGATCTGGTGGAGAATTTTAATAATTTTGTCATTTAAGAATTTTACACGTACTTAGATTAGATTACTTTTTAATTACTTTTAATTTATTAATTTATAAAATTACCAAAAATCTAGCACCAACAATGTAGTACCAAAAATTACCAAAAATCTAGTACCAACAATCTACCAACAATGTATTAATCCATAACCCAAGGAATTCTACGGATGAGCAGATTCTTTGTTTTGGTATTAGGATCCAGTGGAGAATTTTCATGGTTTTGTTATTTAAGAATTATACACGTATTTAGATTAGATTACTTCTTGCGCAACACGATAATTTACTAATTTACAAAATTACCAGAAGCTCTAGAATCTGTGTTTGTACACTAAGGAAAACACGTACCAAATGAACAACAAGCTCCTCTGAAATGCTTGTTTCTCAATTGAAATCTACTTAATTCCTCGTTATATAAGGTGGGCCGAAAGTTTCTTTTTTTCTTTATGGTGAAGCATCAAAAAAACTAATTTTCCCTTAATAAATCTAAATTTAAGTCCAAACACAATTTTCTCAAAATCATTTCTTTCAAACGTTGACCGCCATATGTAATAAAAAGATTGCGGATTTATTTTAGCAGGAAGTGATTTTTGGCCTATCCTGAGTAACGTGAACGTGGATGTAACGCTACATTAACAGCCGTGGATGCGTCTGATGTAACCGCGAAGACACTCGACCAGAAAGTTCTTCTTGAACCGGCCAATCTTGGATTGTTTTTTCGATCGAGCTTGCCTCAGACTTTAGAGCAACATCGTGTCATCCTCTTTGCCTGGAATAACATTTCCCTCGGCTAGGAGAGAGAGAGAGGGAAACATCTCCCTAGCTGACTACAACTCTCCTGGTTGTGGAAACCGGAGGAGTCGGCGTTAGCCAAGAGGGAAAACAATGCCTCCTTTCAGCACTGCCGATACGCGTGCCACTGGCTACGTATGCATTTAACTTCGGTTACCTCTTTCAATACGTCGTTGTTTTTACGTCGTTTCACTGACTGATACCGGGTGAACGTTTTGCAGCTCGCTACGCGCGCCTCCTTGTCAGCCGGAAGCCTCATACAATTACAGCGCCGCGACCGTCACGCTAAATCGAGCAGTCCGCCTCCTTTCTTCGGAAAGAGACTCGCGTATATTCCGCACACGAGTAAGCGTATCGTACTCGTCACTCGGAAGACTTCGATTAACAATTCTTGGGGAGAAAAAGAGATGTATTTTTTTTTTTTTTTTTAATTTGGATCGGCGAATCTTGCTGATGAAAAAGAAAAAAGACAAAACGAACGCGATTTGTTTTGCAAATAGAATTAAGTTGAACAATGTTAAACGTAATGAGAGTATCAAGAGCTACGTACAGAGTTATTGACACTAGAATTACCAAAGTGGTCGAAAGGACCAATTTATGTATATAATTTTTGTTGGACATTTCACCGGACGTGTAACCTATGTACACTGTATTTTTAAGGATTAAAAATAATTGTTCGTAAAATATATAAATAAAAGCTCTGTATACTCTCCATTGTATTATAAAGTTGCTCTATTTTTTTTTTTCTTTTTGGACTTTAATGTCGTTAATCTCATTGGATGGAAATTTTACGCTTGAATCGTAAGAGCAATTCTAGTGTTAACTAAACATGCGAATGTACAATCTCGAATTAATTTAAGAAAATTCTAAATTCAGATTTCCTTATACGAGGGTGGCCACTGAAAAAAAACTGAAGGCCTTGTTTTTCACACATAACGTGAAAAAAAATATATGTATAATTAATGGATTTTGATAAAAATTACTAAATTAATCCTATATATAGGATTTTGGATTTAATTGTACGTCAAAAGTAATAAACATTTATATTCTAATACCATACTGATTAATCTACATCCTAATAGTGTGCAAATTAACTTAGTAATTTTCATTGCTATATAAAAGATACCTTATTATTCATCAGTCAAATTTCACCGAAATACATAATTTTTTAAATATTTTTCACAGATATAACATTTTATCATTTTTTATTTCCACGCACAATACTGAAAAGAATCCATCAATTACATTTCCAAATAAACTAATGAAAAATTCAAAAAGAAAACGTACGTTTGCGAAAGTTTGTCATTCAGTCTTTCAGTATAAACCCCGTATGAGGAAACTGCTTGGAGGAGGCGGCGTGAAGTGAAAAGTTTTCCTCTCGCAGCGAGATGGTCAGATATCGTGTTGTGCCATGCTAAATTTCCGGATCGAAAAATTTATCGCGCAGAGGCCGTGGACAGTGACCGCTAAGCCAACCGAGGCCCTAAGCCGAAAAGCGGCAAGTTAAGTAAGCAAGGATTAGGCGCGAAAGAGAAAGAGAAAGAGAGAGAAAGAGAGAGAGAGAGGAAGGAGGGAGAGAAAGACCTCACGATGCCTCGGACGCGCGCTTCTAACTCATCTGCGAATGCTCTCACGAGGATACCAGGGAATTCCACGACCGCGAAACGTCACCTTGCACTTAAATCGGTGAAAGCTCTTTTGCTGTAACGAGAAAAGCGCGCGGCTTGCCCCGTTCTCATGATTCGGCCGCCGCGCCATGCCTCGGACCATCGATTTTTCAACGAGAGAACGAGATCCTCCCGAAACGATTCGACGACTTTAATCCTAACGTTCTACAACTATGTACTATGTTTGTCCGGCTCGCGATAACCGGTCGACGTTTGTCGCATTGTTCAAAAATGTGAAAAACGTGAAACGCGAGTCGAGGGCGGCGCCTTCTTGGAAACTTCTGCTTCAACACGCTTGATCCGCCATGTCACCCATCATTTCAGCGACAGTCATGTTTCCACTTTGGCAGTCTCATGTTTTTGAAATTTTTCAGGCAAGGAGAAACGTAACGATAATGAGTTTTTGATGGTAAATCATTCATTAGTTAAATTAAACTGACATCAAATGACAATATAACGGTAGCGTGGTAAATTTCTGAATTATTTTGAAGAAGTCGCTATAACAGTTATTTGCGGAAGGAGTGACAATACAACAGTAGTGTGGTAAATTTCTGAATTATTTTGAAGAAGTCACTATAATAGTTATTTGCGAAAGGAGTGACAATATAACAGTAGTGTGGTAAATCTCTGAATTATTTTGAAGAAGTCACTATAACAGTTATTTGCGAAAGGAACGACAATACAACAGTAGTGTGGTAAATCTCTGAAGTATTTTGAAGAAGTCACTATAACAGTTATTTGCGAAAGGAATGACAATACAACAGTAGTGTGGTAAATTTCTGAAGTATTTTGAAGAAGTCACTATAACAGTTATTTGCGAAAGGAATGACAATACAACAGTAGCGTGGTAAATTTCTGAATTATTTTGAAGAAGTCACTATAACAGTTATTTGCGAAAGGAGTGACAATATAACAGTAGTGTGGTAAATTTCTGAATTATTTTGAAGAAGTCGCTATAATAGTTATTTGCGAAAGGAATGACAATACAACGGTAACGTGGTAAATTTCTGAATTATTTTGAAGAAGTCACTATAATAGTTATTTGCGAAAGGAATGACAATATAACAGTAGTGTGGTAAATTTCTGAATTATTTTGAAGAAGTCACTATAACAGTTATTTGCGAAAGAAGTGACAATATAACAGTAATGTGGTAAATTTCTGAATTATTTTGAAGAAGTCGCTATAATAGTTATTTGCGAAAGGAGTGACAATATAATGGTAGCGTGGTAAATCTCTAAAGTATTTTGAAGAAGTCACTATAACAGTTATTTGCGAAAGAAGTGACAATATAACAGTAGCGTGGTAAATTTCTAAATTATTTTGAAGAAGTCACTATAATAGTTATTTGCGAAAGGAATGACAATATAACGGTAGCGTGGTAAATTTCTGAATTATTTTGAAGAAATCACTATAACAGTTATTTGCGAAAGGAGTGACAATATAACAGTAGTGTGGTAAATCTCTGAAGTATTTTGAAGAAGTCACTATAACAGTTATTTGTGAAAGGAGTGACAATACAACAGTAGCGTGGTAAATTTCTGAATTATTTTGAAGAAGTCACTATAACAGTTATTTGCGAAAGGAGTGACAATACAACAGTAGTGTGGTAAATCTCTGAAGTATTTTGAAGAAGTCACTATAACAGTTATTTGCGAAAGGAGTGACAATACAACAGTAGCGTGGTAAATTTCTGAATTATTTTGAAGAAGTCACTATAACAGTTATTTGTGAAAGAAGTGACAATATAACAGTAGCGTGGTAAATCTCTGAAGTATTTTGAAGAAGTCACTATAACAGTTATTTGTGAAAGAAGTGACAATATAACAGTAGTGTGGTAAATCTCTGAATTATTTTGAAGAAGTCACTATAACAGTTATTTGCAAAAGGAAAAGAAAAAAAACTTTCTGAGTTTAAGATTCAACGTCCAGATCAATTTTTTTAACAGGTTCTCTACGTGTACTTCCATCGAGTCGAAGAATTGTAGAATTCATTCAATCCCTCTACACCCTGTACAATCTTTGCAATATTGTGAAACAGTCTGTAGGTATTACTTAATAAATAAATAAACAATTCTACGAAAGGAATCACGTATCTATCGCGAACGAGAATGCGTGTGTACGTGGATCGTCGAGCAAACAATGAAATATTGTTATCGGGGAGTCAAAGATGCTTATCGGCCCGTCGAAAAGAAGGCGGGGGAGCATCAATCATAGATGAGCGTTAATCACAGATGAGCAAGTATCGTGCAACGCGTGCGTGCGACCAATCTAGCGTGAACTGCTCGTTCTACATCACATTAGGATCTCGGTTGACCTTGACTTGCGTCGTTACACACGGTTACACCCCTTTCGAATTAAAGATGCGCCTTTTCTTTTATTTCGTTCGTCCTCGACGCCAAGTTTAACTGCAACTTTAACCATAATTAGAAACTTTGTTGAGATAATTATGCTTGAACGGAAAAAGATAACTCTTCTTTAAATATATATATATAATTGAACCTACTGTTCTACGTATATAAATATACATATGTGCATGTATGTTTGACAGAGACACAGAGGTAGCGCTGAAGCAAGTCTGGCTGCAGGAAGCGGGTAGAAAGTTGCAACTGATATACGAGGGTGGCACGCTGACCGACTGCGTGGACGAGAAACTCGACGCCGACGACGAGAGATCTTGCACGTCGAGCACCCACTTGGACGATGACTACGATGACGAAACGTCCGTCGAACTGTTCGACGTGGACGATCAGGAGGACTCGTTGAGAATCCCGCAGAACCTCTCCTGGCTCTCGTCCACGCTCGACCTCCGTCACCGATGCGCCCACCTGAGGAACAGGGCGCGAAATCAACTGATCTCGCAGCATCGACGGAGGTATAACAACTGTAATACAGAGCAAACGATAGGAATGTAGTAAGAAACTAAGAAATCCGTGATCTTGCTTTACTTTTACGCTGTCATGGATAAATATAAGAAAGACTTTTATATTATAAGAATATAATATAATAACATTATAAAAATATAATATTATAACACTATAAAAATATAATATTATAACGCTATAAAAATATAATACTATAATACTATGAAAATATAATACTATAACGCTATAAAATTATAATACTATAACACTATGAAAATATAATACTATAACGTTATAAAAATATAATACTATAACACTATAAAAATATAATACTATAACACTATAAAAATATAATATCATAACACTATAAAAATATAATATCATAACACTATAAAAATATAATACTATAACACTATGAAAATATAATACTATAACGCTATAAAAATATAATACTATAACACTATGAAAATATAATACTATAACATTATAAAAATATAATATTATAACATTATAAAAATATAATATTATAACACTATAAAAATATTGAATACTATAATACTATAAAAATATAATACTATAACATTATAAAAATATAATATTATAACATTATAAAAATATAATAATTCGAAATTTAGTTGAATCACTCTAGGTTTGAAATAAATTCACTTAATTAACTTACAACTAATATAATAGGCTAAGCCGCACCTACATGGGACCTAATTTGAGACTAATTATATTCCTTATAGTACTGTGAAACGTCACTCTACAAAGGCCTGATCAACCTTTTTCCTCAAGGTAGATTGTAAAAGGAGAGATATCATAGTTTAACTGCAAGAAAAGAAGTTTAAGAAAAAGTGCAAAAAATGGGTCCCACGTTAGGCGACTTGATCCTGTAATAGGTATACAGTTTTACAGTTTTTTTCTTTATACTATGTACATAACGCAGGAAATACTCGAAGCTTCTGAACGAAACGAACGGCAGTCACCGCCAGAGACGAGGTAAGAGCCGCTCGCGGAGAGACTTGTTGATGATCCCGGGGACACAATGGTGCGGCCGCGGTCATCGAGCCACGAAATACACGAACCTAGGTGGTTTTGGCACGGCTGACGCATGCTGTCGCAGACACGACACAGCCTGTCCTTTCTTCATCCCGGCCTTCGAGACGCGCTATGGTCTTTTCAACTGGGGTATCTCGAGCATGATGCATTGTGCCTGCGACGAACGGTATCGAACATCGATTACAATACAGTTTGCCTTGCAAACTGGTCGAAAATCTGAACAATTAACAAGGGAGGGGCTGCGAGATATTTTTTAATTACAGTAGTTTTTAAAATCTTCAGCTAGTACTGAAAATTTTCATTAAAAGTAAAAATTTCTCTCTAAACGGTGACATTATATATATATTATATATAATATATTGATATATAATTGCAAGACAGAATTCTGACCAGTTTTGACAATACTGTACGCATCAAGTGTCGATCTGGCTCCAATTCATCAGATTCATCAGATTATTTTCTTACAGATTCCGCACATGTTTGAAAATGGCTGGCACAGCGTCTGCGAATTTCATCGGGAAGATCTTCTTCGACGTTCTGAGAACGAAATGTTTCATACTGAAGCCGCAGAAGGTTTGTACGAAGTGGTCCTGGATGGGCAAGTGCCAGCACCACGAGTACCGAAAGCAGGCTCACGTCCGGGAAAATGTTCCTTACCATTAAGCGTAACAGCGTTGTAAAGAGAGCGACGAATGTTCTATTCGGGATAGATATTCTTTTTCTAGAGATGTCAATAACCAATTCTCAGGGATGTAATAGTTTAAAAAATAAAAAAAACAACAGCCGTCTTATTTGACTGTCTGACTCCACGAATGACAATACGTAGTGGTCATTGTAGAGATTGTAATCGTTGGAACAATTTTTTTTTTTTGGGCTAGTTTTGTATCTGGTTGTTTCACGTTTCTCGAATATCCTTTGTAACGTCGAGTTAATTTCGATTCGTGACAGAAAGGTTTTAATTGAAGGTCAAGAGTATCTGAAACATTTGAAACGTATCAGCTAAAACAGAAATCGCATGGAACAGATTTATTTTAATTGCATAAAGATGTACGCTTTGTGTTTAACTTTTAAAGATACTTTTTTTTTTTTCTTTTTTTTAGACAGCAGACTTTCGTTGAACGACAAGGTAAAATTGAAATGAAAAAGAGAAATAAAATCGTTTGAAATAGACAGGGTATAATTTCTACTATCTGTATGCTAACTATATATAATCGTTATTGTCTTTGAAAATGTCACATAAATTATTCTGTAGATAAATTATAACGAAACTGTACATATCACGAGTAGCATAATTTTTCAAGCATGGAAAATTTTTAAAAAGAATCGAATTACGCTATATTAAGAACGTAGATTAAAATATACCTACAAATTTTTTCCTTAATGACGATAGTAATTCGATGCGATCAGATTTTGTTGAACAGTACTGTGTCTTTCAAAAAGCAGAAAACTCCAAGGTTTTTTCAACTGTTTTTTTTTTTTATCACAAAATTAATGTAATTGGATACATAGTTCATTTATTCATTTTATATCCTTAGCTACATGTGTGATTTTCCGTCGTACATGTATTTTGTATATTTGTACTTATGCATGAATGTGTTATGCCTTTAGCATTGTAAAAATGTTGAAAAAGAAGCCGAGATTTTAATGGTACAACAGTACTTAAATACCAACACATGCTGTATTCGAACGAAATGCTGCAAATCATCTAACGTTAAGTGTGATAAATTAAATACGCAATAATCCCTTCGTATTGTATAAATCAAAACGACTCACAGCTATCATAAACTATCTAAAATCCTCAATAGCAGATATATCACTGTAAATATGTATAATAGGAATACAGTACTATCATATTTAATAAAGGATACACGTATTATAAGGACAATTGCAACCTTACGAGAATTATTAACATTAAGGTACTACTATCATTCGTATCCCCCTTTCCAGCTATTTCAAATTTCAGTTCAAATATAAATTTGGCGCGCTGTTAAACACGCACGTGTTTCCGTGTTATTCCACTTGCCAAAAGATGCACGCAATTATTTCTATAAAAAAGTAAACGTTTAAAACTGTCAATCCTGTGTGAATGATAAAAGTTTAAAGTATGACCAAAATATCCACTATCTGGTATTAAACATTGTATATTAACAGATTAAGATTAAAATCTATTAGTCTGTCCGTATCGAGAGGAATATGAACATTATAAGACCAAAAATGTACATAAATGAAGTAAGAACAAAACACGGTAAGATCGCTTGCTCATCATCAGAATTAGACTTAGGCGTCACACTGAAAGGCGGTCAAAGTTTCAGGTAATTTCTTTAATCACGATCGATCTTTCCTAAAAACATAACCAATATTTCTTTGACACTTGCTGATTCGTTCGCTATGATTTCTCCGCGAATTTTAAAACGAGTCTTACCTCTTACAAATAGCGCATATATATGATACTTTTTTTCTTTCCGTGTATGTTTCGCAAAATAAGTGATAATTTCTTCTACAGATGGTTTAATCACGATGACGGATACAGAGGAGTTTTTGACGGATATGTTTGGACTCTTACGCAGAACGATACTCATCTATCTTACACCGTACAAGGTCCGCTGGTAGATTGCAAAAACTATGACAAGATTCTCTCCGACTATTTCAGACTGGACGTGTGTTTGCATGATCTGTGCAAAAAATGGATAGCATCAGATCAATACTTTGAGAAATCCCTAAACAAAACGAACGGCGTTAGAATATTGAATCAGGACGTCGTTGAAAATGTATTTTCTTTCATATGCAGTTCCAACAACAACATTCAGAGGTAAGGCGAAATACTTTAATTCACGTACATTTAATTCATCGTTTATTTAAATGTATACTATCATTTTAGGATATCAGGAATGGTAGAAAAATTATGCACGTTCTTCAGTGAAAAAATTTGTTCAATCGAGGGCAAAGATTATTATAGCTTTCCATCCATCGAAGCGCTAGCAAGTACGGACGTTGAAAATAAATTAAGGGAGGAAAAGTTTGGGTATCGTGCAGGATATATAGCAAACGCAGCGAAACATTTGGTACAACTTGGTGGGAAAGAATGGCTTTCAAATTTGCACAAAGAGAATAATGTGTCGTACGTTGATGCTAGGAAACAGCTAATTACTCTTCCTGGAGTTGGTCCAAAAGTTGCAGATTGTATATGCTTAATGTCGTTGGGCCACCTAGAAGCCATTCCTGTAGACACTCATATTTTTCAAATAGCTAAAGCAAGTTATTTACCTCATTTAAAACAATATAAAACTGTTACCCCGAAAATTCACGAAGAAATTGGCAATTATTTGCGTGAATTGTGGGGTCCTTCTGCTGGATGGGCCCAAGCTCTTGTGTTTTGTGCAAAAATCAATGATGTCACTGCTAGTACCACATCGCGTAACAAACGTGAACGTACTAAAAAATCTTGAACAATAAATTTTCATAATAATAATTTTACTTAATAGCACTTTTTAATCGATATTTACATTATATTACAGTTTTACAAAACTGCATAAAGTTATATAAAATTTTATAAATGCATACTTTGTTTTTGGCACATATATATAAATATACAATAATTATTTTTGTCTATAAATAAAAAATTTTATAACTTATTTTACAACTTTATTATATTACGTAGATGTAGGACAATCATCGCGTCTAGATTTTTTCTTTTTCTTTCTGCTCATGCCCACTAGTGCGAAATCAAAGTCGTCTAAAATCATGTAATCTGTTAGAAATTTAAGTTCATCTTTTTCACTCTCATCGTCACTGTCTGAAAAAAAAGAACAATATTAATATCACAAATTATTTACATCACATTCCTATGCGAATAACTTACTCGAATGAGTTTTTAGTATATCTGCAAAAATGCTCTGAGTAAGATACCGTAATCCAGGAAACATGGTTGATAAATATGCTCTGTGTGATGATTTCAAGACTGACAAACAAGTTACTTGTAAAGAAACTGGCACAGAACAGCTATAAGTCAATCTTATTTTGCTCTGTGCAGCTGTGGAACACACCATAGGGTACAGCACTAAATCTCTCAATCCAGTGAAAGCAATACCTAAATCACATATCCATTATAAGAAAAAGTACCAAATATGTACGTTCATACATGCAGCACTATGAGATTACCTAGCGGTTTCCTGTTAAGAAAAAACTCTAACGTCCCTCTCCATGTATCCAAATATATCCCTACTAAGCTACCTTGCCCAAAACAAGGACCATAACTACGTTTTTCACCAGCATGTTGTATATACCCTCGATAAGAAAATCCAAAAGACTCTTGATCAAGCCCAAGAAAGGAACAAAAGACATGCTTTGTACTATTCAAATCCACTTTGTTGGTTCCAACACCCACCATCTGAAAATGTCATACTATTAGCGAAAAGAAACTGTAGATTGTCACGTATAATTAATTTCTCTTAAAAGATATTCACAATGTCTGTCCCGTAGATAGAAGTAAGCATTTTAACTTCCCAATAATGATGCCTTCCTTTCTCTAGCACTTTTGTACCTCTCACAGCTGCTGTACCATAACTGTATCCATTGTGAAACTTAACTTCTAGATTATTTTCTGACAAAATAATAGTGTATGCAGCATTTTCTTTGTCCCATGTCCATTCATGTACTAAACATAAACAAACATAAACATAAACACATTTACATGAACTTTGACAAAACAGCATTTTTGAGAAAATTAAACTTAAATTACTCGGTTCTTGTTAACGAAACAAGTCATTATTATACTTAATAATTATTGTTATATACTTTATAATTAGTTAATGTTAATATTTTCTTATCTTACCGTTACTTTCTCCGCAACGACAGCTACTTTGTAAACTACAATTACAAAACCTTGCATACTGAGATAACCATATAGGATTGTACTCGAAATCCATAATTCTAAAATTGAAATACCTCTCCACTGTTCGTCAACAATTTTTTCAAAGTGTATTACTGCACATTTGACACACTTGCGATCGACCCTGATCTTTTAACTGGTATGTTCATACACATGATGGCATCGTTCACGAACGTGCGTGCATGTATAATAAAACTCGACTCGTGTAAAATAAAATACACGTATAATTGCTAAAAAAAATTTAGTTGAACCAATGATAATAGTGTTACTATCGGAATGACGTGAAAAATTTAATCTGAATATGTAAATATTAATGCGAATATGAATTCTTTCCTAGATTTTATCAACTCATCTTTGGAAAATTAAATTTAAAAAAAACTCAATAATAAATTAAATATACGCATATATATATATATATATATATACACATTTTATTTTTATCCAAGTTAAAATCTTCAAAAATATATACAGCAATTTGAAAGCAACGCAAACATTTGACGATTGAAAAACGCGGTAAATATGTAGGTCGAAGAATTTTACTAGCCTTAGAGTGGCAGAAATGTCTGGATTGAATTCGAAGCAAATTTCCGTCCACTGTTGAAGTTACGCAAGAAAGCAGTCGTGCACCCTTGCCGTCGGGTTTATTCGATTTTCAATCACATTTTGTAAAAAAAAAAATGTTGCGATTTGTAGGAAGACAAGCAAATAGTATTGCAAGAAGTTGTTTGCGACCACGCACTGCAGCTGTAAGTCAAAATATCCGTGCTTCGCACGGCGAGCCGGAGGAAAGCGAAGAGGAATTTAACAAGCAATACGTGAATTATCTAAGTCGGCCAAATATCGACAAATGGGAAATTCGCCGAGTTTGGAACAAATTGGCTGGTCAGTAATTATACAGTTATATATTGTTTTACAATATTTACAATTATTGCTCTTTATTAATCATTCAACTATTCCAAGTAACTCAAATCAAACTTGTAACATTCTTTTGTTCAAATGAATTTGTTTTAGAATATTTAAACAGCTAGATTGAGATGTTGCAATAGTTGTTACAACAATGATCATTTTTTCAGGCATGGATCTTGTACCTGACCCAGTTATTATTTGCGCAGCATTAAAGGCTTGCAGACAGTTAAATGATTTTGCCCTTGCTATCAGGATTTTGGAAATTGTGAAGGACAAATGTGGAAACAGACTTAATGAAATTTATCCCTACATTCTGCAAGAAATCAGACCCACTTTAGATGAATTAGGTATCAACACACCAGAAGAACTTGGTTACGATAAGCCTGAATTAGCGCTTCAATCTATTGATGATATACATTAATTATTTATTTAAAATTGATAAACATAGTATTTATGTTTAGAGGTGCTTACTATTAGATGTCATAAATAAACAAAAAATCAGGACAAAAGAATAATTATTATCATGTGTATTACGAAATATCAATTTCGATAAATTTTTACCATGATATGTTACACCTGTTTCGTACACAAAAGCACATTGTTTATGAATTTAAAAAATATACAAAACAGATGTTATTTATATATTGTTCTTCAAGATTATTAAGATAAACGAAACAAAATGATATGTATGTATTATATTTTAATTGCAATTTCCATTGGTTCCTTATGCTTCTAAAGTTTTAGTACTTTTCAAGTTCTGTTTTTTCTTTCTTTTCTTTTTGTTCCTTTTTACATCAAAAGTAACCAAAGCAGAAAGGTGATACAACAATGACATATGTACAAATTACATTATAAGATACACAGTGATAAAGTCATATACACATACATCTATAATTATCTAAAATGGTATTACATTTTTTTTTCCTCAAATGACATTAAACTTAATTTATGTTCTGTGTAATTTGTTACAAACAAGAACAAAATACAACATGGTCTTACATGGGAGTATCAATATATTACATCTTGTAATGGCCATAGTTTTAAAAAACAATATAACAATTAATATCTAGTCATTGTGATCTGTTCTACTGATAATTATTAAATTTATCTACTTTCTTCTATAATGTTATAAAAACCTTCTTCCTTTTTTTTTTTTTTTTTTTTTTTTTGGTATCGTTCATACTTGGTGTCGAGGGCAGTTTGTTGTTTCAATGTTACGACTCTGCTCCTGACATACATTTTTTTTTTTTAAGAGAAGAGTACTACACACCTACAGGAACTTCATTCATGATAAAGACACATGTACAAAAAACGATTAATTAAACAAGTATCACAAATTCGTTATTCAAATTATTTGAAAACAATATATGCATACATACATAAAGATACTAAAAAGTATAAAAATGTAAGTAAAATCATTAGAATAACGAAAAATCATCTGTAATAATCAATCACACGTCCTTGCACTATTTGACACCGCAACATTGAAACAAGATTGCACAGAAAAAATAATGTTCTTCCTAACATTAAATATATTGTATAAAAGTGAGTTGGCATTTAAATGCATGAAAACATTTCGATTCTTCTTTTTTTTCATTAATAACAAAAATAAATACATTTTATATTACCTGAAAATAAAAATAAAGAACAATATGTAATTCTTCATTTTTACATTCCGCAGAGAATGAAAATCAAAAATTAATTTTTATTTCTATGAGAATTATATAATGTTCTTTATAGCATTGCCTAAAAATGATTTTCTAATACAACGCAGTAATATAATAAAAGTAATTACGTTTTGTGGGTGTGCATTGAGACTTCAAATCCATATGTCTTATTTTTCAAAAAATTATGCCTTATAGCCTATTTGTACCCGTCAGAAATGCTTAATTTTTTTTTTTCATTTATCTCTACTGTCGATTATTAATGTATATTAATATGTATCGTTATATGTCTCTATCGCCGAAAAATGACTCATTTTCATATTTCAGTTTGTCATAAAAATAGGCTACGTATCATTCTTTTCTTAATCCGATAGCCAAATTTGATTAACTCAAACATTTAGATCGGAATCCTGATACCACATGAAATGTCAATCCAATTTTCCCATTGAATTTCAAAAAGATTTTTACATACGACAGACTTGTTTTTGTAACATTCGATCAATTAAATTAAAACTTTCGATTTCATCTTTAAAATTATCCATGTATCACGAGTTACATACATTGTTTGCAGCATCGACATGTTTTTTTTTTTTTTTTTTTTCTTTTCTTTTATATAGATGCCCTTTTAAATACTTTACGTCAGTCTGGAATATCCGGGGCAAAGAAGGAAACGGGGAATTACAACAGGTACACCTGACACCTTGTTAAATACCTGGCAAGACCTTTGGAGAAGAATGATCGACCTTTGCATTTTCCTGCATAATCGACGACGTGAGATACGAGCGGCAAAGATTCAAATCGTCGTAATTACGAGCAACTTCTAACGAGACATTAGAGAACAAATCAAAGGACTGTTCGCCCCGTGCGGAACGGATTAATTGTTTCACTCTCTCGGACTTGCAGTGCACACCCACAGTGATCTCCGTGGCAATTCGTCGTGGGTAAAGCTATCGGTAAGCATTAATTAGCGCGGTTAATAAGTAGAATCAATAATAGAATTTCGGTCGTTGCATTCCGGACTGATTAATCATGAAAATTAATCGCCCGTGCGTGATCGTGCCCGGATCGAACATTAAACCGAACGCGTTACTAATACCGTGCATCGAAAATACTATCTAGATTATCTTCGGCGCGACACTGCGCGTGCTATATCTGCGTACACAGAAAATCGATAATCTCCTAGGCTCTCTATTTCCTCGTTTTTCTCACTTCGGTGTTTGGATAAGTCGCGTGTGAAAAATAGAATCGACGTTGCCCGATGATTAAACCTCTTGATTTCAATTTTCCGATTATTCTTTCTTTACGTAACGTGGACTCGTTATGGGATACTCTCACGCTCTCTTTCGATTGCCGCACTGTGATTTGAATAACGTATTGCAAAGCTGTAAATGACACGTAGGCGAACAATGCACGCGCGCTAGCCGACAAGTCACGAAGGAGGGGGAAAAAATGTAATAAAAAGAGACACACGTTCCATTATAAATTTTCTATGGAGTTTCTACGTATAAAAAGAAGCGCCGGTGAAGAGGGTTTCGTTTATTGGTTTGAAACACGGAGAGACACAATCAATTGCTATAAATTCGATTCAATGGCGTTCTAAATGTCCCCGGACACGATGTACGAGAAAGATAAGATAAGTGTATTTGCGATTACGGGTTTTTTTTCTAGAATCACCCGTAAGCGAACATATGGCTTTATTCGTACGACTCGTGCGTAATTTAAGAAACGACAGGCACTCGCGAAATGGATCTAAGGAGTTTCAAAAAGTTTGTCGATCCATCGATGACGAATGTTCGAAGCAAGTCAAAGGACGAACAAACATGAAACGAAACAATCGCAAAGGTGAATTGTTTAATCGTAGTTCAGCTTTTCGCTGAATTTTGACTGTGAAACAGCCGATACCAAACGTCTAAATTCCAAAGTGAATCGCACGAATCTCCAAGATCGTGGATATGATGTCTTATTCCGTTTTATCCCAAGGGTCCCTAAAGCCTCTTGGAAACCAATAAAACTCGCACGGTTCCCTCCCTCGATAAAATCAAACAGTTTGATGTGCTCGAACAGGATTCTAATTTATGCAGGATTCGGCCCTCTAACAGTTACGAGTTCTGTGCCAACATTTCGAGATTCGAAATATATAACATTCTCTGTATGTAGTGAAATGTGTTGCAAAGTGTAGTTAAATAAAACGAATCGACCGATTTAACTATCTTTCTTCTATTCTAAATTATTTGTATTTTGAAACACTCGACTGGTGGAAACTCGATGGAACAGACAATTGAACCGTTCGTTTTCTTCCCTTGCCGAGTAGGTTTTAGTTATATATAAAATCTCGCGTCTTCCTGCCTCCCGTTCGTTTCATTTTGAAAGAGGCGTGAATCAAGACCGACTTTTATCCGTCATCATCCTACCGTAAAATCCAATATCTCGTATGCGAGACTTACGATTTCACGCAAACTGTGATGAGAAACCGCGTACCGACGAGGCTACCTGTTACAATCGATAGATTTTCCGTCGCATGGGCATAGCGAAGAAAATAAAGCGCTGTTTACAGGCGTAATAAATTGCTCGTGAAAGGGGAATTTTTCAGAGGTGTTTCTCGCTTTCGTTAATATCGGTCTCTAGTCTGCTCGTAAACTAAAACAAATCGATATCGCCGGCTCGGACGTTCGGCTGGGGCTTTCGCGAAAGACAGCACCCACGAATTATTAAAAATTCATTGCGACTAGACCGACACGTTTTATTTAATCATTTAATGAAAAAATCAATCCCGTCACGCTGGTTTTAACTTTTAACTAATTAAGTTTGAAAACGATCGAGCCGACGAAACGTTCCTTTCTTTTTTTCCCTCTTTTCTTCGTTTTCAAGCGAAAATTACGAACAGTGAGAAAAGAGGATTACCAGGGTTTGAATTTGTTTACAGGGACACGTTCGACGCGTCTTTCGAGTACAAGTTGAATAAAAATTTCACACTAACGATCAATGAATATTCCGAAAGTCCCGTGTGCCTAACGTGCTAATAAAGCTGTGGTTTATTGCTGCGCGAGAATTATGCAACTACTTGAGCCGCGGCAGCGCGACCGATAACAAGAGCAAAAGTAATTACAAGATCGGACCCTAATACTGAATAATTTTCGAGGCGTAGTAAGCTTACGAAAGTACGATTTACCTCTTTTCCATCTTTATTTACTAATTAACGTTCTATGTTTTCATTTGCTGATGAAACTGTACCGTGGCAAATTGCAAACACGTTTGCAATTAAAAGTTGTAAAATTTATGAGACTGCGTAAGAACAATTGTGCAGTATAAACGTAAATGAAAGAATTTTCCACGCCAGGTCCTTGCGTTGAAGTGAATTTGCGTTACTTATTCGGATTAACGATAATAAGTTTAACGATCGATTCAAACGTGAAACGCAGACACGTCAAAATGTCCCATAGAGCCATAATATTCAAGTGGCCGGTGAATACTACGCGTCGTATCGTACCCATTTCAAAAACTATCGTCAATCCGTAACAATCCGTAACAAAATTACAAACCATGATCTATAGAATTGCAGATTAAATTTTACAAATTGAAAACATTTTTGATATAAAATTAAAAATTAACGAGCTATCTCCAGTGATCCATGCTGGTCTCCTACGACGACAAAGAAAAGAGATAGTTTTTTTTTTATAAAAAAAGAAAAGAAAGTATTTTAATAGATTTCGTAATTAAATATCTTTCAACTAGTGCAGACAAGTGTTCGATTTCGCGCGTAATAAAATATACGGTCGAAAAATATTTTTTCCGGCCCGGTGAAAATCTCGGTCAAAGCTTCGTCCTCGATCGGCGGTAAAGGGATTAAAGCGCGTGGTAAGAAGGAACGTGGAGTAAAATTGAAAGGGAGGAAAGGGAAAAAAAGAACGAAGAGGAAGGAAGAAGGGGAGGTTGGAACAATGGTTCCCTTTGAATCTGGCCAATTGGCCATCCGCCTAAATAATTTATATCGTGCAGTACATTTACGTGGAAGAGGCTGGTA